TCATTGCGAAAGCATTCTTTGGTCCCTTGTATGAGTTACTGCCCCTGAAAGTTTACGCTGCTTACATTTAATGAACTTTTTTTTTAAACGGTGTATCCTAGAGACATGGGATCAACTGCATGGGCATGTTCGACCTTTGACCTTGAAATATAGGTCAAGGTCAAAGGTCAAGGTCATTTAAAAACATTAGAAATTCCTTATATATGTGTAAAATATGGCAATTTACCAAATGACCTTGAACTTTGACCTTGACCTTTCACCTTGACCTTGGGTCAAATGGAAAAGTAAGGACATGCATTCAGCTCCAGTATCAGGTAAAAACATAGAAAAGTAAAGATTTCCCTCTTCTTTTTTTTTTAATGACCTTGACCTTTGACCTTGACTCAAAGGTCACAATAAGGCTTAAGGATGTGGAAGTAGTTACAATTCGTAGTTTAAAAGAGGCATAAAATAAATAATTCACCCCCCCCCTCCTCCCTTCTTAAAAAAAAAAAAAAATCACATCAACAACAATGTAGAATGTTACTCTAGAATTCAAACCAGACCTCGGATCGACACCAGATTTGGTACAAATGTAGTATAGACCTCAGAGAAACTTTCTGGAGAGTTTTACGGTGAGTCTTATAAGTTTATAGAAGTCATGAAGTTTCACGGCAAAAACTACAAGTTCTGTTGTGTTTGAAATTTAAGTGCAGGTGAACGAAGAAATGATCTAAACCTTTTATCGGCTATTTCTTCAGATGTCTTTAGTGGCATTTAATTCTCCTGATATGATACGACATTTTAATACCAAGCATTCTCTCTTTCTTTTACATTTGGAATTGATTTGATTTTTATTTAGAATTAATCAGTTTCCAGAAATAGCGATTTTCGGTATATTAAAAACAATTCTCGCTTTCAATGTCGTGTTTCCCTTCTAAAAATGCATGTTGGGAATTTAATTTGGGCTACACATATTTAATTTAACCCAAAGAAATGCTTATTTAAATGTTTCATATTTATTTCAGGATATTCAGTCAGAAATGTTAAAATCCGAACCCGATCTTTTAAGCTTACAACGAAGCTATTTACAAAAAATTCAGCATGCTCACAATATCGATGAATCGGGCTACAGTCCATTAATACATTTTCATTAGGGAACAGTGTTAATGTTTTCTTACGCAGCCCGTCCCTTATTATTTAATATACTGCTTGCAAATTCAGGAACTATTTCCTTTTACGGAACTTCTTTCTTCCCCTACCGATTCTAAAAATACGCTTGCAATTATTCTATAGTCCTAAACATTTTAACGCACTATTGTTATTGGAGTGCGTGGCCTAATGGTTATCGCACCTGCCTTTCAAACCAAGGGTTTTGAGTTCGATCCCAGCTGGAGGAGTTTTTTTTTTTTTTTTTTTTTTTTTTTTTTCTGTTGCATTTATTGCATTTTTCTTCATTTTTTTTCAGCCCAAATGACACGGAAACACTTAAAAAGGTGGAAAGACCTCTAATTGTTCTCTGAACAATTAGTTTACTAGTTATTATTATTTTTCTTCCCGGACTTTTGAAACCGCAAGACTTATAGAAAAACTTTATAGTTCAGGATACTGGATATTAAAAGTTATTCTGAAAAACGACCCCCCATGTTTGAACTTTGACCTCTTACGAAGTTATTGCCCCTTTCGCAAGAATAGCTTGTTATCACTACTCCTTCGAAACCGTAAACCGTAGAGGTATGAAACTTTCACCAATGTCTTCGACTAAATGAGGGGACTCTTCAATCTATTCATTGTGAAAGGATTTGTTTACCACTTCAATGAGTTATTGCCCCTGAAAGTTTTTGATGTTCACAAAAAATTAAAAATTTTCAAAACCATAAGTCGTAGACACATGAAACCAACTGCATTGAATTCTTTGACCTTTGACCTTGAAATTTATGTCAAGGTCAAAGGTCAAGGTCATTTAAACTATGAGATATTTATAACTCTCTTGTCTTTCAACATATACTATATGTCTTTGCATCATTAATATGTCCTCTTAAAACTATTTCAAAGATTTCATTCTTGTCCCCTTAACTTAACCCCTTTGAAAGTTATTGCCCCTTGTGCGAAAAACCTTGTTATCGCTACTCCTCTGAAACCGTAGACCGTAGAGACATCAAACCTTCACTAATGTCTTCAGGGTCTTTAGACACAACTTCAATCTATTCAGTGCGAAAGGATCTGATGACCCCTTATATGAGTTATCGCCCTTTAATGTCTTTGCGCTTAATAGTAGGCCTTATAACTTTTAAAGTATAAGTCCTAGAAGCATGAATCCAATTGCAATGTGATTATTGACCTTTGACCTTTAATGTGTGGTAAAGGTCAAAGGTCAAGGTCATTTCAAAAATTTTCATTTTTTCTATTTTTCAAGCCATTTATGGATTCTTTTTTGTATAAAAATTAAATTTAAAAAGTAAAATATAAAAATTAAAGAAATTTACAGAAGGTGGAAAGACCTCTAATTGTTCGAGAACAATTAGTCTACTAGTTTTTTCTTTGGCATGCTTGCATGTCATATTTCTGTCATGGTTGTCAGCTGACACCATATTCTACTTTTTCTACACTTCCAATGAATTTGCCAAGGGGGTGATCAATCCCAGTGGCATACAAAGAATAGAAATGATAATCAGTAATTATATGACAATGCGAAGGTGTATACATTGTATACTTACAATTTGAAAATAATAATCAGTGTTTAGAATGTTTCATTTTTTAAAAAAGTAAATTAATTATTTTTATTTTCATATTTAAATAAAGAAATGTAAAATTTTGTTTGATTGAGCTTATTGTTTAAATAAAAGATACGTTAAAAATTGGAAATCATCTAAAATACTTTTATTGGTTTGTTTTAAAATTTGAGCCAAGGGAGGTAATCATACCTATTTTTTAAAATAAACAATGACTGCTAAATAAAAATTACAATTTTCTACCTAGTGGTGTTCCAATCATCGATTATAATCGAAAATCAGTCGATTGCTGGCATAATCCAAGTGCTCGATTACAAAATTTTTATTCCGATTAATCGGGTTATTTTCTTTTATTTTGCAAGGGTAATAGTTTTTTAAGCAGAATATTCTAGCCGCACCTTGCCTTTTTACTTATTTGTGTATCATAATGGCGCAGACGAACAGACATTGTATTCATACCCGGGTAACAATGCTCATTTCCGGGTATGGACGTACTTTGAATTCTACAAAATGAACAAAGAACCAGCTGAACTAGATAGAATGTTCTATCGTAATAAATGATATTATCCTAAGGACCACAGCTTGTCCTGAGACACAGTTAGATTATTATAACTACAGCTGGACCACCACAGAAAGTAGTTATTCACCCATTCTTACTATTTAATAAACTAAATTGACAGACTTTGTAAATGTCCGATTATAATTGATAATTAGTTAGTTAGAGTAGCCCGATCATCGATTATGAAATTCTTACCGATTCCCATCACTATTTCTACCTGTATACATAATGGAAGTGAGAATTTCATATAAACAATTAACACTCCTGTAATGACAAACCACATGGTAATTTTTGTAAATGCTGTTTATAAGATCCTGACAATAAAATAAGATATTCTTCTGTTGTTCATACACTAGTTTAACTTTCAATCAAAATTGTAAAGATAATTAATATGCTATGTTGGAAAAACAGTTTATAATAAAGGCAGAAGTCATCTGAATGCTTCACCCTACCCTAGAGAGAAAATAAACATAGATTTAATTTAAAGTTCTATTACTATTTCTCATAGTGATGAAAACAAAAAGATGCCTTACAGCATTTCCTTACCTCAACAGGGTTGTCCCTAAGAATTGAAATACCAGGGGACAATAAAAAAAAAGTAGAAGGGGGTCTGGGGATCCTCCCCTAACCATGCAAACAGGGGGTTGAGGGAGAATACCAGTCTGAGAATAACTGGGGGTTTTGTCATTATAGGAGGGGAAATACCCCAGCCCCCATGTCCTAGGGAAAACCCTGTCATAGAATTCTGAGAGGAATTTCTACTTACTAGAGGGGAAATGTGTAACCAGGTTAACAGATCTCAGTATATTAGGTCGAGATACTACTCAAATGCCTGGGTTTGAGTCCTAGTTCAGACTTGATTTTGAAATATTGCTAGCATTTTCTGTTTAATAGTACCCGCCGGATATATTCCTAACTTTTAATTACTGGTTTTGTAAATAAAATAAAGTTCTAATCAGACTAGATATGAAAGAAAACAATGGTTTGCAGGAGTTTAATTGACACCACTTGTTATCCATTGGAGCAATGAAACCATTTAAATACCAAGTCCATATTTTGTGGACAGTGCCATATTCTTTTCTAAAAAAAAAAAAAAAATTATTTCTGTAATCATTTTTCCAGGCTTTTTCATATAATTGCTTGATTGCTTTTTCACATTTAATGATACAGTAAAACTCAGTTATAACGAAGTCACTGGGACCTGTGAAATTACTTCGTTATATCGGATCCGTAATTTTTTATATCCGTATAAGGAATTCGTAAAATTTATATAGCTGGGGATCCAAGAAAACTTCGCTATATCCATGAATTCGCTATATCCAGGTTCGTACTAAACGAGTTTTACTGTATTTTTCATGCTCTGTTATGTCATTTAAAATCCTTAATCTCTACTCTCTAGAATACTCTGGCATGAACATTTTAATTTGTGGGGAGTCAATATTTGTGGGCAAATAAAATTTTTTCCTGGTCTGTGGAGATATAATTCCGTGTGTATGCTCTTAGGATTCAATGAACCAATGTGTTGACAAATTTTTGGATCGAGGGGATGTAAATTCATGGATTAGAGTTGCCCACAAAATCCATGAAATTCAACGTTCTCCCACAAACGATGATTTCTCAATACTTTGATTCACAATAAAAAGATACATATTTTTTGTTATTTAATTTTTCCTGATTTTCTGTATTTCAAATGCTGGTTCATAGGATAAAATAAGTCAGTCTGGTTTTAGGAACCTATGGAACAGTATTCAAGGCCAAGAACAGAGAAACACATGAGGTTGTTGCATTGAAGAGAGTTCGTCTAGATGATGATGATGAGGTAAAGATTATACATATGATGATTTCAGTAAATACAAGCCAAGGCCATCCTTAAAAAATTGTTAGTTTGGAATTGCCGCCTGGGAGGTTTCAGACCCAGGAGGGAGGGAGGGAGGGAGGGAAATTATTTTTTTTTTTCCAAAATTAAAGTTAAATTAAAAATTGATGATAAAAATCAAAATAAGCAGTGAACACATTATTTTCTGCCTTTTTGGAAAAGGGTATCTCCCATCAACCATGAACCCAGTTTTGCTTAGATCATACACTTATTAAGTGATTTTGTGGCACATTTGATAACAGGCCAAGTATTGATTGAATAAAAAAAATCTTATTTTTGGTCAATAAAATTTTTCCAGGAGGGGTCATTTCAATTAGGCGGGAGGCAATTCCAAACAAACAATAATTTCTAATTTTTTTAGCCCAATATGTAATGATGTATGAAAATTATTAATTACTAATCATGTTATTAAAATAATAAAATAATTTTCCCTGAAAAGTATGAGAAATACAGTAGAAATGTATTGTAAATGTACATGTCTGATTAATTTTGTCAATGTTTAACTGATAGGGTGTTCCAAGTTCTGCTTTGAGAGAGATTTGCTTGTTGAAAGAACTGAAACACAAGAATATAGTAAGGTAAGGAACTGAAAGTTAACTGAGTTTAAAAAGATACTTAGATATATATTCTGATACTAGTATGGAAATTTCAGTTTTTGTCCAATTTCCTATACACTGGTCAAAGGTACATGTGTAACAGTATACTGCAAAAAACTAGTACTTTAATTTATTTGGATATTGGATCTCTGGTACATGTAAAATAGGTGGAAAAAAATATGAGTATTTTATTACTGAACATGCTGAATGGTTAACATTTCTCAATTTTCTGTAATGACCTGATTAAACAAGATAACAATTTCTTTTAATATTTAAGTAACATATGTAACAATCAAACCTTCTTATCTAGAGCTGGTTGGGACCCAGAAAAAAGGAAAAAAACTTAATATATCTGAGGATTTGAAATATATATGTTTAAATCATAAAAGAAAAAGTGGTTGGAATTCCAACTCCCTGAATATCCATGGTATTCAAGATATTGATGCCTGAGATACTGAAGTTTGACTGTTATTCTTGTTTATTAAAGTGACTAAGTTGATTCTGTATTCCAAACAGGTTACATGATGTCCTCCACAGTGAGAAGAAACTGACCCTGGTGTTTGAGTACTGTGACCAGGATCTAAAGAAGTACTTTGACAGTTGTAATGGAGAAATAGATCAGGACATTGTGAAGGTAAAATAGGCAATAGTCAAACTATACTTTATTGTAAAGAGAAAATAGGCCATAGTCATATATATTTTTTTGTAAAGAGAGATAATTTAAATTGTCTATTTGCAGTCTCTGGGGCAATTATATTATACCGGTAGTTCTGTATCTGGGGCTACTGGCAGTAGTGGTAGGGAATTCGCTTTATTCTAATTTCTTGCCGTTGCTATCTGTGTAAGTTAGCGTTCCTTTTTCAGTCCTTCATGTACCAGCTGTTAAGGGGACTGGCATTCTGTCACAGTAACAATGTACTACACAGGGATCTGAAACCTCAGAATCTCCTGATAAACAAGGTAAACTCATGCTGTTTTGTCCATTTATCTGAAAGAAATTTTCAGTAGTAAAAAGTAAGAACAATGGTTAAAAAGTAGAAGTTACCTCTACTCTGTTGCATTGTCTGAGTATGGATTGATTGAATGGATTTCACTGGAGAGATTTTAGACAGAATTACAGGCTTGTCTATCTTTATTTAATATCTAATTTACATGTTTTTTGCAGAATGGTGAATTGAAATTAGCTGATTTTGGTCTGGCTCGAGCGTTTGGAATACCAGTCCGGTTTTATTCAGCAGAGGTTCTGTGACTGATTTTTTTGCATGATAACTAATCTGTTTTATATAGCATATATGTACTATATGTCAATTATAGTAAAAGATGTAAACATTATTTGAAGATTATTAAGATTTGAAAACTTGTCACAGGTACATGTATTATTTGGTCAATATTTATGATTTATATTCATTCTAAGCTTTGAACTATTTAATTTATGGGTATATTTCTCTGAATTTTTGACGAAAAAGGGGGGAGGGGGAGAAGGGGTAACATTTCATTCCTTATACTATGTGCCTGAAATATCTGGCATTTGTTACATTAGGTGGTGTGATTGTGATTACAAATCTGTTACATTAGATAGTGCTGTTTTGATAACAGATCTGACATTTGTTGGTTTAGGTGGTGACTCTGTGGTACAGACCTCCTGATGTTCTGTTTGGGGCCAAGATGTATTCCACCTCCATAGACATGTGGTCTGCTGGCTGTATATTTGCAGGTTATTTTTATATCCTCAGTTCTTAATCTACACAGTCTCCATCTTGCTATACATATATTAGATATGAATGCATAGTATTGGGGAAGGGAGGGTACTAGGGTGTGTATATGTTATATAAATATAGCCTTTTCTTGAGGTCAATCCATAGATATATTGACTTCACAGAAAAGCATATCGATCTCGCACTTCGTGTGAGGTCGATATGCTTTTCTGTGAAGTCGATATCTATGGATTGACCGAATTAAAGGGCTACATTTGTAAAATTGTTATATTAATTTCTCAGAGATTGCCAAAACAAAATTTTGAAATAATGGGAACAAGCACAAGTTTTCTCTCTTGTCTTTTTTTAACACTTAGATACTAGAAATCAAAATAAATTAAGTTGTTTTAATGTAATTGTGTTTCCTTTATATTGATTAGAAATCAAAATAAATTACTAAGCTGTTTTAATGCTATATTGTGTTTCCTTTATATTGATAGAGTAATTTAGGGAATTTACTATTCTAAAAGGCTACATTTGTTTTATTATGTTTTGTATCAATTTTTGTAAAACATATCTAATGTTTTAATATAAAGTAGATCCTTATTCAAGGCCTTGTTGTGTCTTACTAATGATTACAGAACATCACAATTATATATAGGAGTTGAAGTATTTTTTTTTTTTCGGAAACATCAAGTCATACACTGTATTAGCTATTATGAAATCAGCACTGTTGTTCTACAGAAAAATATTTCCATTTTTAGAAACATCAAGTCGATATACATTTCAGAATCTTTAAATAGTAACACAAGTCTATATACTATTATATACTTGATCAGGTGATAAAGTTTGAGCCAATCAGAGAGCTTGGAATAAATGAGAAAAATAATATAATACATGTAAATAAATATACATATATATAAATTTATAGATATATATGTGTATATATGTGTATATTAGAATATGTGGTAATTTACAAATGGCAAAGGCGTGAATTACATGTACCATGTGCTCTATTATAGAAAAGTCTTAGATGGTTATTATTTTGCTTTATCATATACTTAATAGTAAATACACCGATTCTGCACTGTGCGATAGGGGTGACATCACAATACACCATATCAAGGACCGGTCCGAAAATCCATATCACGTAACAGACCAGCATGCAAAAATGCATATCAAACCGGAAGTAACGTCTGTATAAAGTTAAAAAGTTAATTTACTTGATTTTATTTAAATATACATGTAAAATAATTCTTTAATAACATTCGTGGTCTTAATTTTTTTTCAGTTACCTAAAATTGGCTTGAGTAAATTTTAAAGAAAAAGGTCAAAAACAGGCACGAAACATTCTTCAATGACTTTTTGTGAACTTGCATATTAAGTATTTTAAATATATGATAAATAGAATACTACATACTAAAATCCATATCATATGTCACAGCAGCCTTCGGCCCTTGGGTTGATATGGGGCCACTCGGGCTGATGTGACATATGATATGGATTTTAGTATGTAATATTCTCTATATATTCACTTTTCAATTTATTTTTCTCATTCCTATTTAACATGCATTATTACATACATTGTAGATATTTTCTTCAAAAACAAATGTGGATTCATTATGACTTTATTTTAGAAATGACCAATGCAGGTAGACCACTTTTCCCGGGCAATGATGTAGAAGATCAACTAAAAAGAATTTTCAAGTATCCTTTATTATAGTTGTCACACATCCTGAATGAGTTGAGAGGTTAAAAATCTCAACAGGTACAAATTCACTCATGCAAATTAAAATGTCAAGTGTTTTCTCTGTAAGCTTTGTAATTTACACACAGTATAAAGATAATTTTTTATGGTTTAATTTTTGTGAAATTTTGCTGTAAAAAAAGAAAAGGTCACACAATATCAAAATCCTACGTATGTTTTATTTCAGAATGGAAACCTGAAGAATTGCAAATACAAATTTTAAAAAGCTACCTTTGAAGAGTCGAATTACGAAACATTCAAGCAGCAGAAATTATGAGTAATATGGTATTTTCCAGTTTATAGAATCTCTTGATACATGTATATGGTGAGGTCTAAAACATATGAATGAAGTTCTTCACAGAGCGTAGAATCGTTTTCTTAAGAGGTCACAAACGTACACCTCTGTAACCGTGTATAAGTTTTATTATCATATGAATAAGGAACACTTGAAAAGAAGTGCTGAATGGGGGAAAATTGCCAAATCTGAATTTAAATATATTAATCCTTGACACAGTAAGATTGCTTGGAACACCCACAGAGGAGTCCTGGCCTGGTATTAGTCAGCTCCCAGAATACAAGGTAAACAGTGCTTCTTCCAGAATCAATGACAGTACTGAAATACATGTACATGTAGGCCTGCAAAATAAGCAAAACATTTAATACTTTTAAAAGGATGAAAAAGATTTTGGTCATTGGAAAGCAAGGATTTATCCCAGTGATAGAATAGAACAACAGATGTTAATATAGGCATTAGCAGCATTGCTAGTATCTGTTAAGATAAATTTCTCTCTTTCATGTTTATTTTTGTAAATGAAACCTGTTAATCTATTTTATTCTGTTATGCATAAAATACATGTATGTATAAAGTACCACATGTGATAATGTACCAATCTTTGATCTACATGTAATATACTAGATACTCTCTATAAATATGTATCATATTACAGTAAAACACGGTTATAGCAAACACACTTATAATGAATTCATCCTTACAGGGAAATGATTTTCACTCCTGGTAGTTTTAAAACGTAATCTTAACAGTTATAACAAATTATATTTATTTAAGGAATGTTTTTAAGTTTTGTGTGAGTTATTGGTGTGTAAATCACACAGACTTGTCACGTAGGCATATTTCCTGAAGCGCGCTAGCGCTTCATGAAAAATATGCCTACATGCAAGTCTGTGTGATTTACACACCAATAATTCACACTTAACTTAAAAACATTCCTTATATTTACATTTTACATGTTCTAAAACACCAAAAAATATACTCAATATTTGAATTATTCACTGCCCTATATCGTTACATTTTTATTAACGTCTCTGTAGCTCATTGTGACGTCACTTTAGTGCAAGTTTCTCCGTGCATATTTCTACGTGTGAGAATACAGGAAAATGGCATTCAAATCAATTTAACAGTTGGCTTAGTAGAAAAACTTAGCAAATGTAATTATAACGAATTGAAATTGCACATCCCTGGCACTTCGCTATAAGCATGTTTTACTGTAATTACAGCACGTAGTGTTAAATCAGGGGCATATGTTCCATTTGTATCAGATCAGTTCTATATGGATTGATTGTCAATTCTCTTATTTTTGCAGCCATTCCCTATGTATCATGTCAGTACAACATGGATGCAAGTTGTCCCCAAGTTAAATCCAAAGGGACGTGACCTTCTACAGGTAATATATTTTCATGAATTTGCAATATTGTTCTGTTAGTATTAAATCTGTATGGATTGAGAAGTACGCTACACGACATAAGTATTATTTTACAGTATGGACTGAAATTGTTGTTTTGTCTTTTGTGTATGGATTTAGACATGAAGAAGTGTTAAGTAACTAAATCTAAGGAAAATCCGCATCAGATTCAGTATTATTTTGTGCTGCTTTATAAGTTATATTTTGAAAAACAGTTGAACTTCATTATCATGAACATCGAAATCTCGAATACCATGGATATGTGGAAGAGATTTAAAAGTCCCAACTACTCTTTCTTTATGTGTTTTAACCATTGATATTTAACCTTGATCATCTCAAATCATCGGATATCTCAAAGTTTTTTTCATGGCCCCATCAGGTTTTAGATAAAAAAATGTTTGACTGTACTTGAATTTATTAATTTTTTCCTACCAATTAATTTTGATATTGATTAATTCCTTTTTATTTTAATTACATGCTCTTGTCTCTGTCCTTCAGCGCCTCTTGATCTGTAATCCAGCAGGACGTCTGTCGGCCGAGGAAGGCATGCTCCACCAGTACTTTAGTGACCTTGACCCCTCAGTTAAACTTGCCACAGATAACTCAGCACTCATTGTTCAAGGGAGATAACCCATCAGTTATTTATTTACAGTGTAAGAGACAACAAATTCTAGTCAAGATCTGAGCATATGATCTCATTTTCTGAGGAATGTACAATGTTACTGGCATGTTGAAGTGATCAGTTCCTAGTTGAATTTTAAAAATTCCAAAGAATAATCATCTAAGAGGTCATCAAAGTCCATGTGTAATTTTGAGTTTGTAGCAAGATGTGATTTATAAATTCATGGTCATTATACAGCAATACATATCAATTATCCAGTCTGTATTGGAACCATTTTGCATTCTTAGCAAGGTGGAATCCAGTTTCAGTTTTAATAAAATCATGTACTTGGGAATATTGATTGATGCATTGTTCATATAAGAGTAATATTTAATGAAGGAGAGGGGAAAGTTTTAAAGATTTTGTTATGAAAAATTTTAAATTGTATGGCTGTGTTTCATTTACATGCTTTGTTATTGATGCATATAAACAAATTAATTTATTCTTTTTAAGTGAACTGTATATAAAATATTGTATAAGGGAATTACAGTGTAATTCTGTGTGTTATTTTGTGAGATATCATGTTCATAAAGTCAACTTTAAAGTCTCTTAAAACATGTACAAAATATAATAGAAATACATGTAGGTTCAAAATCAAAAGTTTTTATTACATGGATTTTGTCTTGCATGAGTATGCTAGTAAAAAGATTTTATGAGTACTGATATTCAGATAACCTTGAATGCAACATATGGACTCTTTTGATGACAATGTAAAAATTGGTGAAAATCAACTTGATGTCACAAGAAAATATTTTACAATTTCTTTTTTTTTTCTTCATATTTTTAACTCAATTTTTATCTAAATTTGTCAGGGTCTCCAAAGTTCATAATCTGTCTGATTTTCCTGTTTTCCTATGATATCTTAGGATTTAGGTTCTCTGATTTTCAAAATCATTCATTGTATCTTTGGCAAAGAAGTAAAACATATATTTGTAGGCTAAGTTATTTTCAAAATATATGCAAAATCATTGTATCAAGTACATGTTTCCTAAGGTCGACTGTTATATTTTAAAGTATTTGTACATAATTTTCACCATTCCATATAGGGCATCATTCAGAAATTTCCATATCTTCTGTATTTAGATACAGAATGAAAAAGCCATAAATTTATTGTGTATTATTGTGAATCTTAGGTATTGTCTGTGATGTATAAATGGACTTTGTAAGACCCTTGTACATCAATTGTGATGTGATGTTGTGTACCAGTGGATGGTTCAAGAAATAAAAAAAAAAGATTGTAACATGTAAATTTTCTATGATTATTTTTTGCTGTTTGCTAATTTATTGATAGAATTTTCATACTACACATATAAGTATGCTCCATTACAATGGTATAATAAAACACATCATTTTATTGGTCTAGTCTGTCACGTGACAGAGATAATAAAATGGTGCAACCAAATATCTATAAAGCAGACATAAACAACCAAGTTTATGTTATTTAATCATTGAATAGCAGTGTCACCACATGACTAAAGTATGCACTGATTAATTATAATCATGATTACTATCTAAAATTATGCAATGGAAAGACTACTAATTTTTTTCCTCATCCCCCCAGGGCCCCGACCCGTCAGGGGTGTTTAAACTCAAGAAAAACATTTGTACATGTCTAAGACAAAATATCAATAAAAATAAGTTCTGTTTTTGTTGAATTTGTGTCACAGTAAAACCTAATTATATACAAATATTAACCAACTTAGATGTCGCCCGCGTGGCGCAGTGGTTAGAACGTTTGCTCTAGAGTCGCAGAGTAAGGTGTTGATCCTTACTTTGCAGTTTCGAATCTCACTGTGGGACGTGAAGACCGGTCCTTCGGATAAAACCATACAAACCGAGGTCCCGTGTCGCAGTAGGTGCTTGCACGAAAAAGATCCCTCACTGCTCAATGGTCCTGAGGGCGTAGTATAGGTCAAAATTTGCAGCTCTCCACCGGCAAGTGGTGGCGTCTCCAAATCAGTGAAAAATTCTCGAAAAGGACATTAAAACATACAAACCAACTTTGAAACTTTGGAACGCTGAAGATGAAATTTTGTATGGTTTTCTTAGCCCCCCCCCCTCCCCCATGTGTATAAAATTCCCTTTGGACCTGAGTCCTCTCCCACATTTTCATCAAACACCCTCAGATGGACGTACACATTTTTTTTTGGTCGGCTGGAATTCCGTAGCATAATGAGTAAATTAAAGGATTATAAAGAATGAAGACAACTAAAATAAGATAGAGAAAAATGTCTTAATTGTCACATGGGTGTGATACAACCCTGTCAAGGATTCAGAATGGCAACTATAATATATAGAGAGAGGGTATTCAATATTTTGTTGTTGGATATAGAATTTATTTCGCGAGTGGGACAGGATTTTTTTTTTATATTTTAACGAGTGCGAAACAATAAACCCTGTCTACAAAACTATAAAAGTACTTTTTGTATTACACATTTTAAAAAAATCTCGATTCTCGTAGTCTGTATATATATATATATATATATATATATATATATATATATATATATATATATATATATATATACTCCAAAGTCCGATGGTGACGCCAAAGTCCGATGGTCTCGCCAAAGTCCGATGGTCTGCTCCAAACCCCGATGGTTTGACGTCGATACGGACGCCAAAGTCCGATGGTCACGCTAAAGTCCGATGGCTCGTTTTCTATGACACACGTTCGCTAAAGTGCGATGATCTGACACGCCAAAGTCCGATGGTGCGGAGAAACAACGTTTATGACGTCACAATATTCCGAAATCAATCCTGGTTTTGAATTACGGACGCCATAGTCCGTAATTCAAAACCAGTAATTTAGGATGAGTCATCGAATACAATTTGACTGATTTTACTGAATGTTTGCACTCACCTGAGTTATAAGGATTAGTCCTTGCATACCACTTGGCTGACAAGAATTAGTCCTTGTGCACAATTACACTGATTATAAGATGGGTTGCACCCACTCAAGACATAAAGGGTTAATCCTTGTACACTATTATATTGAATAGTTAAAGTCTTGCACCCCAAAAGAGGTTTGACTGATTAGGGATAGTTTCTCTCCATCTAGGATATGTTACAGACTTTTTGACCGATTAGGATTAGCCTCGCACACATCCAAGAGATTAGGGTCAGCCTCGCACACATCCGAAAGATTAGGGTTAGCATCGCACCCATCAGAGAGATTAGGGTTAGCCTCGCACCCATCCGAGAGATAAGGGTTAGCCTCGCAACCACTTAAGAAATTATGGCTAGGCTAGTGGTGCAATATATTTTTTGTGTTTCTAGTGAACCATATTACTTTGGCGTTTTTAATTTGTTTTAAATCGTTTTACCTTGGCGTGGCGCGGCATCGTAATTTGGCGCAGCAGTATTATGACGTCATAAACAATAATTATTTTTCTGCGCCATCGGACTTTGGCGTGTGAACCATCGTGGTTGGCACAGACCATCGGACTTTGGCGTGACCATCGGGCTTTGGAGTCCCATCACACTTTGGAGTCCTACATATGTATTTTATATATATATATATATATATATATATATATATATATATATATATATATATATATATATATATATATATATATATATATATATATAGGACCTCTGTGATAAACATTTGTAAAATCACTCTTTCTCAACACAGATATGTTCATGTATACTCGATTTACCTGGTAGATGCCCAGGAACAGAGTTTTTAAGTTTTCAAAGAAATAATGAATTTTCATTATGTATCAAAGTGCCCCACCCAAACACCAGAACCTCTGGCCCAGGGATCATGAATTTCACAATTTTGGAAGAGGCATCCTTGCTCATCATATCCATGATATGCACTGTGTTTGCCTGATAAATACCCAGGAGCAGAAAATTTTAAGAAGATGTTTAAAGAATTTAAGAGTTTTTACTATATAATCAATACAGCCCGCCCTAACACCAGAACCCCTGACCCTTGTGCCATTAACTTCACAATTTCGATAAAAGCACGTCAGGTCTCGCCCAAAACTCATTAAAATAATGCACTATGTTTGCTTAAACTAAGGAGCAAAGAATTTTAACATGCAAATACATTGAAATTCGCGAATTGCGTTTCCCTTTACTCATAGATGCTATATACCAAAACTGGTTAAAATTGGTTCAGCATTTAATTATATATCACATGAGTTTAGCTTTCAGCTAATATTTCATATCTTTCGAAACTGTCAAATTCCTACATATGCACTGTGATATGCGATAGTTAGCATTCTGTTATGCGAACGGGCATGCTATATTTTTCGAACACTAAATGCTGATAAGAAGACTGTCTGATTTATCGACCCTTTTACAGACAACGATGAAAGTCTGTCGTATGCATTATTGTATCTTTCTAATTGGCGCAATTTTTGTCTATGTTAACAAGGCTACTGAAATATTGGATAAAAGACTTCTACTAGATGACCCTGAAGCGCTTCGGTCCCAATTATCTACTCTTGAAAAACGAATGGAGGATCTAGTGAAACTATTTCAAAATCAGGAGAGAGTTATTTCTAACCTGCAGACAAGAAACAGTGAGAGAGATCGTGATTATGAAAGACTATCAAAAGAATTTCAATCCGTAAAGTCGCAACTGAGAAATCTTAATAATGGTAAGGTACATGATTGTATAGTTACAAAAAAATAATAACTTTACTTTTCAAATGTACTTTTGAATCCAGAGAAAATATTTCATAGATTAGACCATAAAAGAAACATGTTTTGAATTAAAGAAATGAAATTATCATTTTGAGACATTCACATTGAAGATTGCGATCTACTGAGATTTTACGTAATAATTTTTATAATAGGTGGAGGGGTATTTGTGCGATGGGGAAGAATGACATGTCCTCAGAACATTTCTGAACAGGTGTATTCAGGTAAGAATAATAATTAGATGACATTTTTATTATTAACAACAGAAAACATGGAAGTTATGTATCATAATTCAGTACAAGCAACAATTTTAAGATATTCAGTTAAAACGGTGATGTTGATTCTTGTAGATAGTTTGAAATTGTTAAATTTAAAACCTTCAATTTGATTAATTTTAAACTTTTAAATTGATAGATTTTAAACTTTTTATGTAACACTTGTACATGATATCGTAAAGATAATATTATCGACACAAACATAATTTATTTTAGGTTTTCGGAAGTGAAATATTTATAACTTGAAAATTTGCAAAATATAAGTATTAATCAGGGCTCTAAAATTTTTGATTGGCGCTTAAAAATTTTCCATAAGTCGCGAAATTAGCGACCACTTTAAATTGACTTGGCGATCGTTGGATTCCGGAAATTTTAACATTTTTAACAATTTTTCTAAAAAGCGAAAAGAAATTTAAAAGAAGAGGGAATTATTTTTAGCCATAGACATGTCTTGTTTTCTTAGTCACGTCATGGGTCTCTATATTGATTACTATAATAAACTTTAAGAGTTAAAAAAAATTGCCTGGCGACTAAAAATTTGCATTGGCGACTAAATTTTTTTTGATAAGGCACCAACTGGCGCCTAAATTTTATGGGCCACTTAGAGGCCTGTTAATAGAATTTTGCATCGATAAATTCTGTAAGAAGACAAAATATAATATTATATTTAAATGAACCATGATAAAACATAGGAGTGACCTCTACAAAGTCAAATGTCGGTTTTTGTAGGGTTCTCAAATTAGACAATACGAGGGCTGATCCAAAAGTAATGTTACAACTGTTTTAAAAACTTCAAAATACGAATGTTATCAATAAAATTTTACATAACAGTACCCCTTACTATTTTAACTTTTTATTTTATCTGTAATACAGTATTTTTGATACAGACAATTCTTTGGGCAGATAGCCTTCATTAGGATATTTCTAGACTGAATTTCCTAAATGATGTCAAATGGTTTTATTGTCATCAAGATAAATATTTTTTATAGCTTTTCAACAATCGAAGAAGTCCTGATCTTCATGTCCCAGTCATATCATTTTAAAGAGTGAAATATTGTATCAGCATTATTATTATATTGGGTTTCTTGCTTCAACATTTAGGATACGCAGGAGGTTCTCGATATGATAAACCGGGTGGTGCAGCAAATTTTGTGTGCCTTCCTCCAGACCCGAAACTAGTTTCAATACAGGGCAATACTAATGAAATGTACGGATCAGAGTTTGGCACCAATGCTTTTGGACCACAAGTTGGAGAAGACATACCATGTGCAGTTTGTAGAAGTTTGGGAGAAAGCAGCGTGCTTATGATTCCAGCTCGAGATACCTGCTATCCTGGGTGGCGGCACCAATATTCGGGGTATTTAGCTTCAGGGGCAGAAGCACATTCTTCCGCCACTGAATTCATATGTATGGATAAGCACCCTGAAACTATTCCCGGGGGTCATAGAAACGAGGGTGGAAAATATGTGTATACTGTTGAGGCCCTCTGTGGGTCTCTTCATTGTCCACCTTATGCAGATGGGGGTGAGCTAACTTGTGTTGTGTGTACTAAATGATCTGTATATGTAATCATTAAAAGTTTTATTTTAAAATCAAGCCTTAAAAAATTACGTGTGTTATTAATATTCAAAATTCAAACGATACGAGGGTTGATCCAAAAGGAATGTCACATCTGTTATTTAATTTTTAATAATGGGAAGTCATCAACAAAATTTACATACTAATACCTCTATCCATTTTGACTGGTGCCTAAAAATTTCATTTTAAAATATAAAATACTTTTCAAAATATAAAGATCAACACAAGCTTGGGTTTTGTCTACCGCATTGCGATAGCCTTCCGGGACCCAGCTTCAGATTACACACAAATCTATTAAATCTCTCACATGCTTCTTAATTTTCATGTTTTTTTTAATATATTCATTTTTTTTATTGTAGTTTTGTTATAAATTATTTCGTAATTTAGTTTTTTATAAACAATTTGAAATGTCAAACGTTCATTCTGTTTTCATATTGATATGTGTACCTTATATGTGGTCGGGTTAAAGAGTAAATGACGGTAAAGGATGACTGAACGTCTTCTCGCTGTCTTCTTCCTCTGTTGAAATAGCTGATGACCCCATTAAACACCAATACATAAAGTCAGACACTTTATTTAAGAGAATGGAAATAATAAATGATATAAATTTAAAAAGTTACATACAATATCGTTAAAAAAAATATTGAAAACTGAAGCCAAAAGATAGATATGTGCAAGAAAGAAAAAAGTGAATGGAGGATCAACTAATCTTTAACGTCATTTACTCTTAAAATCGACGCTACATGAGAAGAAATTTTCAGGGAGAAATGAAAAGTGAAATGAACTATAGAAAGGTATTAACAATATTTATAAAACAACTCAAAGCAAACGCTCCAACACAAGTTGGCAGTGTACAATAACTAAAACGCGTGAGTCCCAAACAAACTAATTATAATTTTGATCTTCTATCTGTTGCCCCTTTGTTTTAAATGCGTTGCACGACATAGCAATAAAAAATGAGGGAAGATCGAAGATATAATCTCAATTAGATTGATACATACACGAGAAATACTCTTATTGTACAATTGTTGACTAAAGTTTTGAAAATTATCTTATCGGAATGCACAAATTTGGATGCGTATATATATATATATATATATATATATATATATATATATATAACTCTGATTTAAGGACTAGGGAGACCAGACCATTATATATGGCTTAAGGAGACAATATACAGATTTTTTAAATTTGCTTTTTTCTAAAAAGAAATACCAAATCAAAGATCTATAGAACACCATTTAGTCGACTCTTGCTTTATTTTTTCATAATAAATGCCTCCTAAAAATATATGAAAAAAATGGTCTCCTTAATATTTTATGTTTCTCTCATATGACTTAAGGAGACCAGTGTATATTTTTTATAAATATAACTTGTGGTTTAAGTAGACCATTTTTCTTTCATAGTAATTTCACTTATTATGCATTAATTAACATATTGTTTCCAACCAGAATAGTTGCGGATGGTCATTAGTCAAGGTCAGCAGAAAGATATTTGTGCTAATGTGACTCAACATGATCAGTACAAAACTTTGAATTAAATTAAAGTCATTGCACAAGTGACTTAAATAGAGAGTAGTTGCCCCCGTGGCGCAGTGGTTAGAGCGTCTGCTCTAGAGTAGCGAAGTAAGGAGTTGATCCTTACGTTGCAGGTTCAAATCCCACTGTGGGATGGGGAGACCGGTCCTTCAGATGAGACCATATAAATCAAGGTCCTGTGTCGCAGTAGGTGCTGGCACGAAAAAAATCCCTCGATGCTCAATGGCCGTAAGTGCCGAGTATAGGACAAAATTTGCAGATCTCCACCGGCATGTGGTGGTGTCTCCATATAAGTGAAAAAATCTCGAGAGGAATGTTAAACAACATACAATCAATCAATATATAGAGAGTATAAGCCCAGAGTAGCTTGTTCTGATATCCACATTTAACTCTCAATGCTGTCGCCCACGTGGTGCAGTGGAAAGAGCCTCTGCTCTAGAGTCGTGGAGTTAGTTGATCCTTTTGTCACATGTTTGAATCCCACTGTGGGACGTAGAGACCGGTCCTTCATACAAACAGAGGTCCAGTGTCGCAGTAGATGCTGGCATGAAAAAGATCTCTCACTGCCCATTGGCCATGAGTGCCGAGCATAGGTCATTTGCATCTCTCCATCGGCAAGTGTTGGCATCTCCATATGAGTGAAAAATTCTCCAGAGGGACGTTAAACAACAAACAAACTCTCAATGCCCAAAACAGTTTAACCTAAAAGTGAATGCAGACATAGATTATTCTTTAGACCAAGTATAGTATACTCCATATTGTTTTGTTGAGGACACAAAGTTCACAGTGGACATCAAGTAGTTTTTCCTGCTATTTATACCCGGCTTCGTCACCGAGTGCATTCGCTTTCCAACTAATTGATGAAGTTCTGACCTATTCCTACATTTGTTTAAATTCTTTGTGATTTAAGAATACATTTGACCAGTTGAAACCAAGAGTACATGTACTACATAAATTTCAAGGTTGTGATTAAGATTCAGTAAAAGTTATGCCCCATCCAGTATAGCAATATGTGGATGCCATGTTCAATATACATATTTGCTATCATTAAACTTGCAGAGACCATGAATCAAAATAATTCAAATGCTTAAAAATCATTTTATTTTTACTGCTAGTCAAAATACAGTCACTCAAGCATATCCTTTGTTAATTTGAAAAAAAAAATGATAGTTTAACATTTATTATTAATACCATACCAAAGCACAAGATAGTGCACTTCTTACATAATCCAATGATTCATGCTGTGATTTTACAAAGTATTTAGATGTTTCTTATTTACAGTTCAGTATACATGATATACCAGTACAATGTGACACTAACCTAGTATCAGTTAAATGGATCATTACTATTCTGTTTTTAAGAAGTTTGCAGGGTAAAAAGTATAATAAAATAAAAATGTTGATACATTTATTGATTGCATATGCTAAAAACTTTTATAAAAATCAAACATTGTATCATAACAGCTTTTACAAATTAATTCAATACATTCAAAGGTACAAAAATCAAATTATTTTCATCCACAGTTTTATCATATTCAGTTGAACAACAGCTACATCTATTATACAAAATGTATGGTAGTTGGCACTGATGGTATATATATCCTGAGCAAAGAAAAAACATACCTAATCAAAGAATACAAAGCTCACTTCTATAAATGTTATCTACTAGTAAGGCAAAATCTCACTCAACAAACACTCTGGTAATGTATATCACCTGGATCCAAAATCTATGCAAGTTGGTCTGGGTTAGATTAAACTGCTCAATAACCCTGAAAATGTATGTTACATCCAGCATCAGAAGCAGGATATATCATCTATGTTTACTGATCACCAATGAGTATATTGTTACTTTGAATGAACCTTCTCTAAAAACTGGTCATTAATCCAGAAAATCTAAGTCAAATCAAGGATTGGTACCCTGAAACATTTACATGTACATACATCATCTTTGCAGGTTTGTTCAACATAGAGTTTATAATTACATGAGAATAGGACTGCTCAAAACACTTAATCTTGTGAAATCCCACATGTGGCGCAAAGGATAGAGTTTGTAATCTAGAGTCGCGAGTAAGGATTTAATCCTTAAGTCTCAGGTTCAAATCCACTGGGGATGTGGGGACCAGTCCTTCAGATAATACCATATAAACCGAGGTCCCGCCTAGCAGTTGATGTGGGCACAAAAAAAATCCCTTACTGCTCAAGGCCCTGAGTGCAAAGTATAGGTCAAATTTTGCAGCTCTCCACCAGCAAGTAGTGGCATCTCCATATGGATGAAAAATTCTTGAGAGGGATGCTAAACAACAAACAAACAAAAACAAAAAAAACACATGAGGAAAATGTAGATCAGGTCAAGCATCTGAAGTAAATCTGTTAATGTGCTTTAATCCATGCAAGTTTGTCCAGGTAGAGCTTAGGAATGAACCTTGCTCCTTAAATTTTAACTGGGATACAATGCTAGGTATATAGTAAGAACTCATCTAGACTGTCCAGAAAAGCTAAAAAATATTTAGCAATTTCTTACTTGCATGATTTAAAAAAACTGCAATCTAGTAACATTATTTCAAAAAAAATTTCAACACATTTTCTAATTTTCAACAAATTCAATGCACTGTGAGAGGATTTAACATTTCTTAACCACATACACTGTACTTAAAGTGCAATATACATGCATTATACTGTATGTTAAATCTTTACAGTTTTCTTCCAGTACTCTAATAGTATATGAAATATGAAGATTACCAACAGTGATCAAGCTTTAAAGTCCATTGAAACAATACAAAATTAGAGCAGAGCAAACACAGACCGCTAAAAACACCAGGTGCAATGGAGGAGAAAGCATTTCCTGCCATGTGCTCCTTGACATGATTGGGCAAATGGAAAAATCCACAAACAATTCAGTGTAAACAATTTCGATGAAAAACATTAGTCAACATTCAACTTAATGATCGATTGAATTTGCTGTAATAATTAATTTACACGTAAGTGTACACACATGTATGCATACTAGATGAATTATTTCACAATATCCAAAATTGGACAATAATAGTTTCTAATCTAGCTAGACAACAGGAAATTTTCATTATTACTTAAATTACATGAAACTATTGAAGTCTGTGAGCTACAAATTATATCTAAAAATTATACACATTTTAACAAGTGTTTACAGTTTAGTGTATTTATTATACACAAATGATGACTTAGTAAGACATACTAGTTAAGTCCACAGATTGACTTCCAGATTTCAGCTCAAAGGCTTGAAGATTTTTAGTGGCTCTTTCATCATTTTTTTTTCACTGAATATTTTCATTTTTATTTTCAAGACACTGTTTTTGTTGAGGTCTTTTAGCAGTTTGATGCAATCCAAGAACTCCAAGGGCAATTTAAGAACTCCTGAATTTCTTTCTTACCTGGAAAAAATAAAAATTTAAAAGTTTAAAA